ACATACATACATACATACATACATACATACACACATACATACATACGCACACACACGCACGCACGCACGCACGCACACACATATATAGTCTTGCTTGCAATTATTAAAATTCATTTATCCTGTCCATAAAACACCCTTTTGTAGCATCTTGCATGTGCATGTAAACATTTTCGCGTACACACATTCCCACGTATACACACATACTGGTAGACAACATGTTCGTATGAAAATAATACACTTGATCATATGTTGTTGCTTGCTTACATGCCACGCAATAGTTTGACTTATCTTTTATATACACGAACACATGATCAACTATCAGCTGTGACGCTGACACGATACGACTCACACACGCACATAAATAAATACAGAATTCGCACCGCATGCTCTACGAAATGTTTGTCACGCTCACTGCACATAACAGCAATAATAACACGACATCGCGCTACTGCATACACCACCAGGGGGCCCGTTGTCAGATACACCGTAAAGTTGAGACTAAAGTTAAGACCAAATTTGTTTCGGGCAACGGGCCCTGTATCATAAGTACAGCTATTGTAAGATGGCAGCACGATAGTGTAAACCTCACTCAGAAATATCGTCTGCTGTGTGACATCTACTACGCGATGAGGCACGTACGAGATGACAGCGCACTCACTTCTATCATTAGCTAGCTGGAACACCCAGGCTAGGGTACCCCAGGCCCTAATAGAACAACAATAGCACCCGCTGTTGTGATAACACAACAACTGATCCAATTGAGAATGTTCTTTGTTCGCTTTTATGCTCGCCCCTCTCTGTATCTTCCTCTCGTTCTCTACCCCACCTTTCTCTCTCACTATTTCTATCTATCTCTCTCTTTAGCACGCTCTCCCTCTCCTTCCCCTGTCTCTCTTGCTCTCCCGCTCCTCCCCCTGTCTCTCTTGCTCTCACTCTCACTCTCCTTCCCCTGTCTCTCTTGATCTCACTCTCTTTCCCACTGGTTTATTTCTTACTGCTTCACTCGCTTGCTATTCTCTTATTTGGATCTGCAAAACTAATGCAACATTATTGTACATGACACGCAAGCATCTTACACAGCTAATGATGAGGCAACAGAATCCGAAGCCATTTCAAGCTAAATCACAGCTACATTACAATGAATTGAGTGCAACATGCAACTTAAGTTATAGTCGATCCTAAGTTAGCCAGCCTCTGCTTAACACATACGCCATGGATTTTACCACCACGTGGCATTACCACCACAGTCAATTGATAATATCAGGAGTCTATCAATATTGATACACTCCTGATAATATACATATTTGGGAGGAGTAATATGTCAGAACTACAGGTGCAATTAATAGTTTTCACTTCCTCGTCTTATTTGCAAACCAAACACTTCGCTATCCTATGCATAGTGTTACATCACTTGCCGCTCACATCCCACGCTTTGACTATCATGCAACTAGATTCGACAAAACAAGAGAGCATAGCTTAACCCATTGCCAAAGGTGCAGTGACATTTAACAAAACAAACGAACGTTGTGACACACACACACAAGATCATCTCACAAGTGCCCAATATGTGGCAACACTCGACAAAACAAGAAAGCATGACTCAACTAACAGAGCCTAGTGCACGGCAACATACAACAACACAAGCAACATCAACGACGAGCGAGTCGGTGCGAGGCAGCTGTCTCAGGGATCAGCAGATGTGTACGACGGGCGAGTCGGTGCGAGGCAGCTGTCTCAGG